GTGAGGACTCTAAGATGTAATGGACAGAAATAAACTCACTCTATGTAAAGGAAGAGGAATTTATTGGCTCATGTGTCTATCTGAAAGCCCCATATTTACTAACCTGAGGCACTGCTGCCACCAGGAGTTCAAATGAGTTAATATTTTTGTTAACCTAATCCTTTTCCCAAGGCCCAGAGAGCCGTCAAAGAGGGTGACTCATGCACTGGCTGGAGAAACATCCTGACTGATCATTTTAGCCTGTGGTGTGTGTTGCTGCCTGACCTAAAATGGCTTACTTGGAACATCAATCTTGTAATAGGAGTTTTTGTGAAAAAGAGCCCATGGTCACGTGCATTTGGAAATACAGGGATCCACAGCGTCCTCTGTTGCAGATTTGGGGCTCAGAAGATGACTGTTGGAAGCATGTGCTGTTTTTGGCATTCGGATGACTGTGAGCTGAAGGAAACAGGAGCCTTAGAAGCAAAGTGTCTCTTTGACCTCCCCACTTCCTGTCACCCAGCTGTCTTTCTCTCTAACCCCAAGCACTTTACAGAAACCAGAATTCTTCTCCCCCAAGATGTGTCACAGAAACTAGAAATAATACTCTGACCTTCCCACTTTTCTGTGTATGTTTTAAACATAAATAATAAGACCCTGATTTCAGCAAGGTTCTGTCTTATTTCCAAGAGGAAGGAAGGAAAGTCAGAAACCAAAATGAATCTGAGCAGGCAGACTGATGCATAGTAGCCTGTTTCCTGTCACTAGAAGGAAAATCTCAGATACTGAGTACTTCAGAAAAAAAAAAGTTGAGCTCATAGTCTTGAAGGCTGGAAGTCTAAATAGCACGATGAGACTGGGAATATGGCTCAGTGGTAGAATTCTTCACTCATGTGCACAAAGCCCTGGTTTTGATCTTGTACCACAAAACAAAACAACCTAAATAGCATGGTGTTGGCTCTGATGAGGGTTCCCTTGCCTGTGTCATCTCCCGGTAGATGACATCACAATGGCCACATATTTGCCAGAGGGAGAGATGTGATGGTGAGACGGGAAACCAGCGTGTGGGGAGATACTGGCTTGCAACCTTCCCTTAGGGCCCTACTCTTAACTCTGAAAGATCCCACCTCTATCCTTTTCTTTTAATGGCAGTAGGGCCTTTGCCACGAGGTATATCCCCAACCCTTTTTAAAAATTGTATTTTTCCCAGGTCAGGCTCAAACTTGTGATCTGGCTTAACCTCCCAGGGTGCAGGAATTAGGCATGCACTATCATGCCCAGCCACCACCACCTCTGCACATCACTACCCTGAAGTCCAAGCTTACAGCATGTCAACCTTTGAGGGACAACCTTAAACCATATCCAAACAATAGCCTGCTGACCGATATATAACTATGTATGCTAATACCACTGAACTATACTCTTTAAAGGAATGATCTTAATGATATGTGAATTATATTTTAATAAAACATAGGAAGTCCTTGCTGAGGGCTTACTCCTGAGCTATGGTATGTAAACCTAAGCATTGTCAGTATTATAATTTTTTTTTGGTACTGGGGACTGAACTCACAACTTCGTGCTTGCCAAGCAAGCACTTGTGCCACTGAGCTAAATCCCCAGCCCCAAGTTATATAATATAAATTTTCACTCTGGGTGGACACCTCCTGATCCTGCATCTCTACTGTCTTAAGTATTTTCTTATTTAATCTTCACAATAACCCCTGCAATATACATGCAATCTCATTGTTGTCTTTTATGGAGGAAGTAACCATAGCTCAGATAAGTTCAAGAAATCTGACCAAAGCCACATGACTGAGAAGGGCTTTTCTGGGAACCCAAGTCACACTTCAATCCCGTGGTGATGTGGTTGCTCTTTGTAGGAACATTCCCTGTGCTTTGAAGTTGCTTTGGCATCTCGATGAGAGCAACGATCAGGAAAAGGAAGTGTGCATCTGAGTCAAAGCAAACGAAACACTGTGACAGCGACAACAAGAGCCATGGTCACCTTCAGTGACAGCAGGAATTTGTTTTGCACAGCTAATCAGTCAGAGGCATGAGTTCTGAGGCTTTCCGTCCCCAGACAGGACATGTGGTGAATGAAGATGACTGTGATAAAAAGGCACTGTACTGAGAAACCAACATTGTAACTAAGGACCAAAATGGATGCTAGACAGCGGGAGGTGGGAAGAGAATGTTCAAGTGGGGAGAAGAACAAGAAGAGGAAAGGAGAAATGGAAGAAAGGGAAAAAGAAGAAGAAAAAAATGACAGGGAAAAAACGAACAAAACTCTTGTAAATAAAGAAGTGAAGAAGGGTTGAAGAGAGGGGAGGGGAGTGGGGAAAAAAGAAGAATCAAGATATTATATTACATACGTGTATAAATTCCCTGTGATGAATGTGATCTTTATGTATCTCGAACTATACCAATAAAATTAATTATAAAAATTTATACACATGGAAGGAAAGAGCAGTGTTTGTCATATTAGAGAACAACTCTGCGTGGGCCACGGCTTCTTCCTGAAGTCAGTCCCCTTACTGTGTGCTGTGCCTAAATTTCCCTCTTAAAGAGAGCAAAGTGGGGGAAAATTGTAAAAATACTCGTGTATCAGATATCTGAATAATTTCATGACAGGATAGGAGAATATATTGTCTCCTTTTTGCTAAATCCTTGGATCATAAATATGTATGTCTCAAAGTTACTTATATCTTAGGAAAGTATTTCCCCCAATGTACTGCAGAGAATGTAAAAGTTCTTAAACTTGACATCTTGACAAGAGAGAGACACAACCAGCTAAGCGTCTGCTGGGGCTCCCTGCCAGGCCTGGACACTAAAAGGGGTTGGTGCAGGCCACTCCTGTAAGACACAGAGCCCTCCTGACAGGCAATTTTGCCTTGAGAACTCATCATCATACTGGAAAGGACCCTCTTGAAATTGCAGTCTGAGATTCTCTCTCTCTCTTTTCTTTCTTTCTTTTTTTCTTTCTTTCTTTTTTCTTTTTTCTTCTTTCTTTCTTTCTTTCTTTCTTTCTTTCTTTCTTTCTTTCTTTCTTTCTTTCTTTCCTTCTTTCTTTCTTTCTTTCCTTGCTTTCCAGGTGCTGTGGGATGGAATTCAGTGCCCTTCACATGCTAGCCAACCGCCCTACACCCTACCACTGAGCCACCCCAGCCCTTAGTCCCAGCTGCTTCCTCTCCAATTCCATTCCCCATCCCCCAGCTCCCTTACCGATGTAAAAGCTGCTCCAAGCTCTGAATGTGCTTCTCCCTTGCATCCTTCTGAGGTATTCTCGGCGAGAAAGCCATTACGTCTAACTTCATTTTTGTGATTGCTTCTCAGGGGATCCCAGCAAACACCTAACACTGGGTTCCTTGCCCTCCTACCCTCATTTCTTTATAGTTTCAATGTCGGCACTGTGATTTTTCTCAAACGGCATATTATAGTTGTATTTTTTCTCCTTTTCCTTTCTTCCTTCCATTCTTCCTTTCTTCCATCCTTCCTTCCTCCTTCTGTCCCCTCTTTCTGTACTGGGAATGAAACTTTGCCCCAAGCTATATCCCCAGCTCAGTTTTTATTTTTTTATTTTTTATTTTGAAGGTAGTAAAATGCAACAGAACGAGACAGAACAAAGCCAATTGAGACAGTGTAGTGAAGTTGGTACGGAACTTCACAGCAGGATACCGGGATAACAGTAATAGGTATCACAGTATATCTTGTTATCTTCACAATAGTTGCTCTTTCAATCACGTATAGCAAAATAAAATGAAATACAGAACCTTATAGAACTTATCAAAATAGAATATTGAATAGAGCAGTACTATTAATCAGAATAAAGCAAAACAATATTAAAATATTTGCCTTCAAAGAGATGGTAGATGGAAATCCCCCTTATTTGTTATATTGCATATGGTCAACCTCCCAAGAGATGCTCAGATCTCTGGTTCCCATTTGCTAATAGGGGCAGGGGAAGTGGGATGTTTGACTCTCAGCTCATGCACCGGTAGGCTCGCTACCACTTAGCAGGGAGGCAAGCTGGTTGCTTGGTTTCCCATCGCCCTGAGTTCCAAATGGCACGGATCTCAGGAGATGCTGGTGGTTCTCCCTCTGGAGGGACCACAGCCTTTATTTTTTAATTTTGAGACAAGGTCTCACTAAGTCACTAAGTTGCCCAGTGTAGGCTTGAACTTGTGATCCTCTAGTCTCAGTCTCTCAGAGTGCTGGGATTACAGGTGTGTAGCACCCATCTGGCTGTGTGTTCTTTATTCTTTTTTTTTTTTTTTAAAGCCAGTCAAATTTAGCAGTAGGGGGGTGGTATACCAACTTTAGTGACACTAATGTTAATAAGTTCTGATAACCCACTGCCATCGGACCAGCCGTGTTCTTTATTCTTTTACTCTAATTCCCTTTGCACCCCTCCCTCCCCGCCAACTGTAAATTCCATTATGACAGGAACCACATCTGAAATGAACTCGCTGCTGTGCGGTGGTACCTAGTACCGTGTCTAGTAGATAATAGACATGAATCAGTACTTACTGGATGGACCTGGGCTTGGTGGCACACACCTGTAATCCCAGCACTCAGACGGTGAACATCAGGATCACCTGTGAGTTCAAGGCTAGCCTGGGCTACATAGTGAGATCCTGCCTAAAAAAAAAAAAAAAAAAAAAAAGGCTTACTGAATAGAAAGGTTTTCCTCTGCCTCCCTCATCATCTCATGCTGCAGGCCCTGCTCTTAGCCTTCTGTGTCTTTTGGTGGTCACTGTGTAAAGTGCAGACAAACGTGTTCAAGAGAGACATCAGTGATTTAAAAAAAAAAAAAGGAAACAAATTCCTCAACACGGCACACCTTACAATTGCAAACAATTGGAACTCGCTGGAGATCAAAGTGAAGCCACTTTGAAAATTTCTAAAGAGCTGACAAGAGGTGGCATTTTTGATGGTGCTGAGAGAAAGTTCAGAAGAGCTGATCTTCAAAGGAAATCTTCATGGTAAACTAGCAGTCTCGAGAATTGGCCCCAAATCAAATTAGCCTTTTCATATCCACCAGAAAACAAGCTTTCTGAGGAATATTCGCAGATCTAAGGAGGAAGGGGGAAGGCGCTCTTTATGAGATGTAGGACTTGCCCAGCTGGGCGCCAGCTCCCTGCCTCCTTAGGTCCTGGCTCTGAGCTGTTTTCATCTCCTCCTGCTCGCCTAAATGAGGCTGCTTCCCTGAAGCTCTGTTTCAAGTGGAAGAAGAAACAAAGCCCTGTGGAATTCATGCGTCTGCTGGAGGGCCATGACTCCTGGCTTGGTGTTTGTGGTACCTTTGTATTCTTGTTAGATTCTTTTGAAGCCACTTTCACTTTGAACTGCAATACACCAGAAGACTTGTTTGGTATGTAAGTTACTGTAAAGAAATTGTGAGTGGAAGTAAGGAGGCAGTGTTGCATGGCAGTAGATACAATGGCTTTGGATACTAGGTACTAGGATGGTGCTAGGATAATTGAGGTTCTATTAGGTAACAAACACCATCCAAATCTTAGGGACTAATTTTTTATTTATGCAAGGAGGAATCTTAGTTTACTTCTGCTGTTATAACTAAATAACACAGACTGGGCAGTTCAGACAACAGACATTTATTTCTCATAGTTTTGGAGGCTAGAAGACCAAGATCAAGGTGTCAAAGGGTTTGGTGTCTGGCAATGGACTATCTCCTCCTTGTTTAGCTGCTGTTCGCATAGCTGTTGGGGTTCTGTAGGCAAAGGGAAAATAAAGACTTCCACACAATAAGAGTCAGCAAAATGGCTGCCACCCGGCCAGCCTAAACAGGTAGCTTTTATTAAGATAAAGAACAAAGAAACTCAAATTGCACATGCTTAGATTATGTAACTTGTTTGCTTTTTGTCCTTACAGGACCTCGTGTTTTACCTTAGGGTGGGGGCAATGTTTCAAAGCCTGCACTTTTCCCCATAACATTGTCAACCAAATATGTCTGGGACAAAATGGAGTCAGTGTGACCTCTCTACACATGACCTTTTTTTGAACATGCTCCTGGAAGAAAGGAAAGAGAGACAGAGAGAATGTTCCTCTTCAATAAGGGCACTAATACTATCATGAAGGCACTCTTCCCACCATTTCACTTAAACATAATCACCCTTCAAAGCCCCCTCTGTAAAACACTAGGATTAGGGCTTCAACATACGATTTTTGAAGGACACAAACATTCAGTCCCTAACAATGCCACCCATAGCTATGTTCCCCATTACTCTTCTGGAAGAACCCAGGACCACGGAGTTGTCCCCAAGTGAAGTTTTGCCAGCCACCATAGCTAACAGGAGACTGTGGCTCTGAGAGCTTCCACCTTCAAGTAACACATGCCTCCTGATCAAAGTTCCTTGGTCAAGAATCAAGTTCTCATCCACATGTGACTTCAAATGAGTGTCTGAAATATACAGTCCTACCTGATGCTGAGGAGGGGAAAATTGTATTAATGGGATCTGTTCTGATGATCAGGTCACTCCATCTAGATGTTGATTTGAAGGTGTTTTTTAAAAAGTGATTAACATTTAAATCAGCATACTCTGAACAAAGTCCTTTTTTGGCCATCCTATCCTGCTACCTTACACAAATATGAATTCTGGGACACACCTTTCACAGTGACCAGGTTGATATAGCATAGAGATTATTGAAGAAGTCCAAGAGAAGGCAATGATAGTGATATAGGAGAATGAGACTCCCAACCTACTATGTGTCCAGTTCAAGTTCATGTTCTCTAATACTGAAGAGTGAATTTTAGGAACAAGGGAGGTTAAGAACAGAAATATTTATTGAGAGAAAGAAAGATTCTGTCTGAGAGAGAGACAGAAGGGGTCCCGAGTGGGTTGCCAGGGACTCTGTCTTTTCTAGGGATTTTTATATTAATCATTTTATGTTAAAGCATGAAGTGAGGTGGATCTAAAGTGGGGAGAACTGGGAATTCTCGAAGTAGACAAGCATGAGGTGGGACAGAGCTATGGTCAAAGAGTAAGTTTAATTGTTCAGGTAAAATTGACTAAATCAGGGACAAATGGGGTAGCAAGTCACACAGCAAGCAAGCATTCTTTATAGATAAGTGACTCTTCCTATAGGGAGTTGGGATGGTGACTCCTGGCTTCTCAAGGTGATCCACACTTAATCCCTAAGGTTTATAGTTAGGGTGTGGTTGCATTGTTTTGCCTTCTGTTTTGAGATCTGGCCCACAGCAAGAGGTATGTGTCTCCTCCAAGATCACCAGACATTTGTCCTCTGTACCAGCTTCTTCAAGGGACTAGCCCTGTCTGCCTATAATATTTCTGACTAACTCTGCTTCCTGTAACAATAGGATGTGCTATCAAAGGCCTCGTGATACTTTATATCTTATTTGATTGGGACAAGGGTTGTGCAGATATTAGGTCAAGCATGATTCAAGTGTGTCTGGTTGCTGTTTTTGGATGAGATTAACATTTGCACTGTTAGACTGAGTAGAGTGAATGACCTTTCCGAGTGTGGGTGGCTATCATCCATTCACTTGCAGGCATGAAAGGAACAAGAAGGCTGACCCTTCAAGAGTACAAGAGGACTCCTCCTGTCTGTTTGCCTGCTGAGCTGGGCCATCAGTTTCTTCCTGCCTTTAGACTTGACCTGAAGTATCTGCTCTTCTTGGGTCTCATGCCAAGAGGTATTTTGGGCTAGAACTTACACATTGGCTCTTTTGGGGTCCAGTTGGTGACTGTAAACCTTGGAACTTCTTAGCCTCCATAACCACCTGATCCCATTGCATTTAATAAATCTCCTTCTCCATATATGTATATATAGCTATATGTGTGTGTATACACATATATATGTATAAATATGAGATATGTGTAAATATATCATAGCTGTTGTGATTGCTCCATTATATATATGGTATGTGAGTATCATTATAGTGTCCTGTCTTTGATTCTTTTGGGAATATACTTAACAGAAGTAAAACAGGATCTATTTTTAGTATTTTGGGGAACCTCCATACTGATTTCTATAGTGGTTGTACTAGTTTACATTACTACAAGCGATGTCAGGGGTCCCTCCCCCTGCATCCTGCCAGTATTCATTTTTTGTAATCTTGATGATAGCCAATCTGACTGGGGTGAAATGGAATCTCAGAAGAGTTTTGATTTGTATTTCCCTAATAACTAAAGATGTCCAACATTTTTTCACATATATTTTTATTACTTCTTTTGAAAAATATCTGTTCAACTCATTTGTTCATTTATTGATTGAGTTATTTGTTGCAGGGGAAGCTGAGTTCCTTACATACTCTAAATATTAGTCCTCCATCAGAAGACCAGCTAACAAAGATTTTCTTGCATTCCCTAGATTATTTGTTCACTCTGCTGTTTCCTTTGATGTGTAGATTTTTAACGTGGTATAATCCTATTTGTTGTTTTTTGCTATTATTTCTTTGCTATTTGAGTACTATTCAGGCACTATGGATTTGTGGTATAACTTGAAAGTAGGTGTTTTGATACTTTCAGCCTTGCTCATTTTGCTTAAGATTGCTTTGACTATTCTGGGTCTATTTGGCTTCCATACAAATTTTAGGGTAGTTTTTTTTCTGGTTCTATAAAGAATGTTGGTGGTATTTTAATAAGACTGCATTGAATCTGCTTTTGGTTATAAGGCGTCTTAACAAATTGTGCCGGTCCATGATCATGGGAGGTCTTTCCATCTTCTGATGCTTCTTCAGTGCCTTTTTCCATAGTTTTCCTCGTGCGGATCTTTCACTTCCCTGGCTAGGTTGATTCCTAGGTAAGCAATTTTCTTGAGGCTATTATGAATGGAAATGTTTCCCTGCTTTCTTCCTCAGTGGGTTCACTGTTGGCATATAGGAACTCTGTTGGGTCTTGTGTATGATTTTGTATCCTGTTGACATTCTCTTTTAACCCTGGGCAGCAGCAGCAAGCCACAGCAGTCAGCCGTGCGATTGTGAGTACAAACAACCAGCAGTCTACAGTGTCCTGTGCTAGACACTTTGTTGTTCAGTAGGTTGTGTTCCTATCTTCAGTTTTCAATGGCCCACTATTAGTGAGGAGCATCTATATATACATCGGGTTTGTCCTGTATCTCTGGAGAAATCTGCTTATACAGGTTTAGATGTTCCTTTTCAAGTCAAAAATCTTTTAAACTTCTACAATGAAATTGTATTCTTTTGGTTTGGGGTTAAAAGTTAAAGTTAAAATGCTTTTCTATGAAAATTTGCCCTAATTTAGTAATTTTAGAGGAAGACTCCTGAGTTGGGTGGAATTTCCCTCATAGAACAAGCTACTAGAAAGTTGTCACAATCGAAGTAGAGTCACTTTTGTCAAGCCCTGACAAAAATGTAAGAAGAAATAAACTGGGAGTTATGAAAGAGGAAATCTCATGCATGCATGCCTGATAACTAGATCTATTAACAAAAGACTCTTCCAGAACCAGAAATCTTGCCTAAAGGCCACTGTAGTTTTTCTTAAAACATAGTTTGGTGAGGACATTTGCCAAGCAAATATCTGTTTAACCTTAGACTGGCAGAATCTTTTTTACTAGTCTTTGTGGTCAAGGATCATCCGCTCCCCACCTCTTCAGTACTGGGAATATAACTAAGGGTCTTCATATTCCCAGGCTTCAGATTTTTGCAATTTTAAGTCAGCGTTTTGCTAAGTTGCCTAGATGGGGCCTCAGCCTTGCAGATCAGTGGGACACAGGTGTGTACCATCATGTTTGGCTTTCCTTTTTCTTTGTGCTGAATGGAACTCACATCCTTGTACTTGTTCAGCAAGTGTTCTACTACTGAGCTACAACCCCACCTTTTTTATTTTGGAGAAAGATCTCACTAAGTTGCCCAGGAAGCCTCAAACTTGAATCATCTTGCCTCCGCCTCTGAGTTACTCAGATTACAGGAATGTGTTATTGTTTGAAAATGTTGTATGTAATCTTCCTCACTTTGCCATTAAAACCTTCCCCTCGCCCCAGCCTCTTTGGATATATTCGGTTTATTCTGCCCTGCATACACTGCAACACTTTGATTTTACCGAATAAATGTCACTACTTTTTGCAGCATCTCTCTGATGGTTGCTTCGAGCTAGAGTCTCTTTCCTTTAGTAGACTGAGATTGAAGGCCAAAGCTTTAGCTGATGCTGGCTGTCCTCTGTTCTTTCCATATTGAATAAGGTCGGACATAGAGCTCCTTTGATGATGTTATGACATCAATATTTTCTCCTATGAAACTTAAAAAAAACTAAAAAACCCCACATTGTTTTAAAATCCTGCTGTTTCTATTTTATTGCTACTTTGCTAACTCCCAAAATCACAGGCTTCGTTAACTGGAGAGAACTGTGGCGATAACTTGGCCTAATTTTCCCTAAATTGTGTTCCACATAATATAAGTTCAAAAGTATTCATTTGGAGAAAAAGGATCCATTAGCCAGGCGTGATGGCTCACGCCTGTAATCCCAGCTCTCGGGAGGCTGAAGCAGGAGGATCGTTGGGAGTTTGAGACCAGCCTGGGCTACAAAGTGAGCTCAAGGCCAGCCTGACTGCATAGCACAAGACTATGTCTCAAAAAAGACAAAAGAAAAGAAAAGAAAAGAAAAAGGATCCATGATCAAGCAGGTGAGATAAAGGTACCATTTTATGTGTTCCTTTTGGAGAATCCAGCTACACTTTCAGCCAACAACTGTTTAATGTGGCTAAGGGTTTTATTGTTATTTTTGGATTGCTAGTAACTCAAACTGAATCAAACTTATACTAAAAAGGGCCTTTATTGGAGGGATCACGAGGTTTCCTCGCAGAATCAGGCTGAGCTGAACAACTAGCCTGAGTGTATTCATTCATTTTCTGATGCTATAACACAACACCCAAGGCTGCATATTTTGTGAAGAAAAGATGTTCATATAGCTCACAATTCTAGAAGTCTAAGGGCATGGAGAGATAAAATGTTCAGATGGGAAGCATGAGAAAAGGAGGAGATAGTTCACTCTTCTAAGAACCCATTTTTGGGAGAAGTAATTCAGTGTCCTACTGGAACCACTTGGATTCCCTCCAAGGGAATGCCCCAGTGACATAATGACTGCCCACAAGACTCTGCCTCTTCAAGGTGCCACTTTCTCTTAGTACCACCACACTGGGGAGATACTAAGGCAAGAATCCTTGCAGGCACATTTAAATCATAGCTCCAGGGACGGGGAAGAACCACAGTAACTTCAACTGGCCTCCTTTGAACTCTTCTCTGGGTCAAACACTCCAGGGCCTGTGCTCTTTGTTCAGACTTGAAATTATAAACAAAAGTAAGCTTTCGTGGAAAGAGAAAGCAGGATGAAGCTCCGTGGCCTGGTGCCCGGGAGCCCACCCTGCAGATCGAAAAGGCCTGTCTGAGGATGAAGCCATCTCTGGGCTGCTGCATGTCACCTATCAATGATTAGAAACTGCTTCTGCTGAACTTGCTAGCTCTTAAGAGTAAGGAAGTGTGCCAGAGAAAGCTGCCTTTCCCTTTGTTTTCTTCCCTTCTCCACATTCTGTCCCTTTAAGAAAATGATTGTTCTTTATGATAATCTTGAGTCATTTGTAGGAAAATGGATACACCACGCGACCCTAATGCTAAGTGAACTAAATCAGACACAGGAGGTTAAATATATTGCATTGCTTCTCTTATGTGAGAAACCAAAGCATAGATAATATAAAGAGTAAAATAAAAGGAAGATAAAAGGAAGATAGAAGGACAGGAAGGTAGACCTTTTGCAGACAGAAGGAGATCTAGGGATGGAGTGAAGGGGGAAGGAGAGAAGAGGAACTAACAAGGACTAAGATGTGCTGTGTATATGTACCAACTCCCCGCAGCGAATGTATTCATTAGGTATCACAAGCATGTACTAATAAAAAGATTTAAAAATAAAAATAAAAATAAAAATAAAATGATTCTTAAAAATCATAATTATTAAAAATAACTTTTCAAACACTATCAAACACATTTAATAGACTCTAGATCTGTCTTTTGCCAGAGGCAATAGCTAGTATTCATCCTTCTTGTACCTTTCCAGAGGAAGCTTTGGCTTACTCATATGTACAGATCCTACTTACTGTGTTTATAAACACTTCTGGCCATATTATATGCACAATTCAGCACCCCACATTTTTCACTTACTGATGTCTTTTTTATATGACTATTATCCCTCACCATTTTACAGTACTGGGCATTGAACTATGGAGTTTCATAAAACACAATGAAAGGAAAATAGAATTGTCAAAGACCATTCCGTTTAATAAAATATAAACAGTACTTAAAAATCAAGCCTATTTTGTGCTCTTCTTCCCTCCATCAACTCATGAGAAAATCACTTTACTAAGTTTGTAGATCGTAGTTTCCTTGCATTGTAATTGAGTCCCTGTGTGTCAGTCTGTAAGGGAAGGTGAGGGTACTGGCAGTTGAACCAGTCCCACCCCTTTTAATTAATTGGAGACAGGGTCTCAGTGTGCAGTCTATGCTGACCTTGAGTTCACTGCAGCCCAGGCTGACCTCAAACCCCTGATCTTTCTTCCTCAGTCTCCCAGTTGCTGGGATTTCTTGCATGTGTTACCACACCTGGCCCCAGCCCTTTTTAACAACTTGAGATAGATTCTTGCTGAGTTGTTCAGGCTCATTTAACTTAAGATCCTCCCCTGTCAGTCTCCCAATTAGTTGGGTTTATAGTTATGTAACTTTGTGCCTGTTGAGTTCTGTTTTTTGTTTGTTTGTTTGTACCAGGGATCAAACTGACGACCTCTTCCTTGCCAAGCATGTGCTTATACCACTGAGCTAAATCCCTGGACCTGAGTTCTGTATTTTGGACTGATCTTGGGATCTCTTAATATGGTATCTCATTTAATATGGTTAAAAGCAAACCCAAATGATTCCACTTATGTAACAAGGGCAATGTACTACGACTTTCTGTCCATTCATTCAGAAACTCCTACTGGATTTTTACCAGGGGGTGGTCAAATGGTACATGTAAGCAGCATGATGGGAACCTCTAGGATGCATTCATGGATAATGGTGACAGGCATGGTAGTACATACCTGTAATTCCAGCTGTTAGGGAGGCTGAGGTAGAAGAATCATATATTTGAAAATAAAAAGAGCTGGGGATATGTGTGGCTCAAGAGTAGAGGTGTCCCGGGGCTGGGGGTTTAGCTCAGCAGCATAAGCGCCTCCCTGGCAAGCAAGCAGTCGTGAGTTCGATCCCTGGTACCGATAAAAAGGAAAAAAAAGACAAAAAAAAAAAAAAAAAAAAAAGAGTAGAGGTGTCCCTAATTCAGCTCCCAGTACTACCACCACTGCCAAAAAACCAGTCAACCAACCAACCAAACACAAGAACCCCCAAAAACAAAGCAGGCAGGAGGCTAAGTGAATATTGGTAGATGCTTGGATGATGGCACTCTGAGTATTTTTCTTTTTATCTGCTCATTGTGGTCTCTAAATTTTCAACAATGGATCCTAGAATTCTTTAATAATAATGTAATTCCCAAACCTATTTTCCCTTCACCATCTTGCTATTACCTCTGACTTCCCTGTTTTTGTCAATGTGCTGCAATTCTTCCCGGGTTCAGAGCCTGAGAATCATGTTTGATTCCTTTTTCCTTACCACCTGTTGTCAGTTACTACTCTACTTCAGGGTTATCTATTACTCTCTTCACTGTTCAGTTTCAACTGCTTAAAAGGCATAGACCTAGTCTTGTCTATTTCCTAGACCTGTCACATAAAGAGATGCTCAGAAGATGCTTTTTGAAGCATCTGCTAATCCCTGGGCCTATTTGCATCTTGTAACTGGCATCTGGTTGGGAAGTTTCATCTATAAATAAGCAGTTTCTGTTTCAGATATGCTTTGCCTGATGTTACAGCCCATCTTACCACACCCAGGCCTTAAACTGAGAAACATGAATTAGAGCTGGTATTCAAATCCTCGGCCACAGTGCTGCCGGTCCCCACAGAACCAACAGTGTGGTGTCAAGTTCTTTGTTCCTTCAGCATTCTAGTTGCTGTTGCTCCATGTGCCGGGGAATTCTTGAGATTTCACTTGTCCTTCTATGCAGTTCTTTCTGTCATTCTGATGCTTCTTTTTGTAATTGAGTTCCAGATGGCTCACCAGTGCTTCCAAGAAGAATATTTTGACAGTTTGCTGCGTGCTTGCAAACCATGTCACCTTCGGTGTTCCAAATTCCCTCCTCCACCCTGTCAGCGCTACTGCAACGCAGGTAAGTAAGAACACACCCACTGCTGTCCATTGCCGTGTAAGATTCGATACTGATTATTCATTTAGTGAATAAATATTATGGGGGAAGAATGGTAAGGTTTTGCCGAATCAAAAAGAGAACAGAAATAAGGCAACGATCTCAAAGTATACAAGAATAAAGCAATTATGCAGAACTGAGCTCAAATTATTCAGCTCTGCGGGTGACATATATTTTTATCAACTTTTAAAATTAAGTGGTTATTTAGAACTTAAAAATCAATGCTGATGAGTTAGAGGAATCAAATAGTGAGCAATTCATATTTAATGTGAATATTATGCTATCAGCTCATTATCTCTTTGACATTCTTTTGATAAAGGTACAGCTCCTTCAGTGAAAGGAACGAATGCTATTCTCTGGGCCTGCTTGTTCCTGAGCTTGATAGTTTCTTTGGCAGTTTTTGTGCTGATGTTCTTGTTAAGGAAGATGAACTCCGAGCCACTAAAGGATCAATTTAAAAACGCAGGTTGGTTTGATGGTGACTTTTTAGAAATCTGTTTCCGGAAGGAGGCTATTTTGAGACTCATTTCCTTTTCTAACACTATTTTATTTAGTCACAGTCCTTCCAGGTGTGTTAGTGGCAGTCACATCAAAAGTAAGCTTCCGTCTGCACTGACACCTTTACACATCTCCTTACAACATCAGTCTTCTCACCCTTTCTCATGGTAATTGATTACTCTATTGGAGTAATTTTCCTTGGAAAACATCTGTGACTAAAGTTAGCACATTGATTAAATGTTCTTCTATTAGAAATTGCTCACTGAGGCTGGGCATATCACTCAGTGGCACAGTTCCTGCCTGGTAAGCACAAGGTCCTGAATTTGATTTCCGGTACCCAAAAAAAAAAAAAAAAAAAGATTTGACTAGAAATTGCTCACTGGACCTGATATTATCAGAAAAACCTTTGTTGTTGTTGTTGTTGAAAAAGCATATTTGGCAAGGTCTGTAATCAAGTTAATACAAATAGGGGCTGGGGGTTAAGCTCAGTGGCATAAGTGCCTACTTGGCAAGCACGAGGTCGTGAGTTTGATCCCTGGTACAAAAAAAAAAAGTTAATACAAATATAAGTGTTATATGCTTGAGTGAACATTTTTCTATTGAAAAATGCTAGAAATGAATAACTAGTTGTTCCTGGATTAGTTGAGGAACCATTTCAAAACATTCTTTCCCCCTACCCCAAATCCATTTTACTTTAAGGATAAAAAGAAAGAAGAAGAAAAAAAAATTTTTTTGGTGTTTTTTTTGAGACAGTTTAGGGGGTCTTGCTATGCAGTTCAGGCTGGCCTTGAGCTCACTTTGTAGCCCAGGCTGGTCTCGAACTCGCAAAGATCCTCCTGCCTCAGCCTCCTGAGTGCTGGGATTACAGGCATCAGCCACCATGCCCGGCTAAGAAAAAAAATTTTTTAAAAATTCTTTACTAAGCAGAAGAGAAACAGTCTCAAAGAAGTAAAGGTTCTGCCTGAGAACCCTTTAAGATAAAAATATTTCTGAAGCAGCTTTCCCAGTGATCTGATTCTCAAACACAAGCAAGCAGCCATTACCCCATTTCTTTCTGCATGTATTTTCCAGACATAATCTGTAAGGCATCCACCTGATTTGCTTGCTAGTACAGCAGAAGAGGTAGAAGCTTGATCCACATAATTTATTCATTTTTCTTTCTCCCCTGTGGCATCTAGTAGACAAGTGGAGAATGAATTTTTCAGCATAAAATAAAAATTATATCTACTTAAGGTATACATCTTTGATATACATGTACATAGTGAAATCATTTCAATAGTCAAGCAAATAACATTTCCATCTCCTCGCATTGTTATCTCTTCTTTTCAGTGGTGAGAGCACTTGAAATCTTCATACCACACATTAACTCTCCAGATTTATTCATCCTACATATCTGTAATATATATCCTGTGACTACTAGCTCCCCATTTCCCACACCTATCTGCCCTGGAAACCAGGATTCTCTCTGCTTCTATTTATTAAACTTCTTTAGATTCTATATATAAGTGAAGTCACAAAGTATTTTTCTTCCTGGGTCTGGCTTACTCGTAGAGCGAGTCTAAGTATGACATTTCAGAAGATAGAGTTACACTGGAATGTTGGGAAGTAGGAAACTTACACCACACAGGGGTATAACTGGGACCTTGTGGAGACTCCTTCCTTATGTGATTATATGAGATTCATTTCAAAATTTTTTCATCTGTTGCAAAATGTTCTCCAAGAGAAGCATCTTTACTTTTGTATTTTAAAACATTACCCATGTGTTTATTTTAGTGCTTCGATATATGGTAATTTCTGTCATTTTCATCTGTGTGGTAAGTTCAAAACTTTACTGCTTGCAAGAGCCAAGTAGGTAATAAAGACATGTACTGGACCAGGTAGTGACTGCCAACCTATGAGCCCATAGCCTGCCTCAAAGCAACTGCTGCTATTGACTATAGTTAATACATTTCACTCTGGGGGCTGGGGATTTAGCTCAGTAGGCATAAGTGCCTGCCTTGTAAGCAGGTGATTGTGAGTTTGATCCCTGGTACTGATAAACATGTCACTCTGGTTCTATGTTGCTGCATTTTGTTGTTTTTTAAAGGTTCTATTTGTCCAGATTTGTTTGTGAAATCTCTTGATTTTTAAATCTGGCCAATAGAAATAAACAAGCACTTACAAGCATTGTATCACCAAATAAGCCATGTTTTGGTCCTGGTGCAGACCATAGGCATTCTCCTCACACTGCGTTGAGTTCTGATACATCCTGCTAAGATTATGATCTCTCGGGGCTGGGGATTTAGCTCAGCAGCATAAGCGCCTGCCTGCCTTGCCAGTGTGTGGTTGTGAGTTCGATACTGGTACCGATAAAAAAAAAAAAGAAAAAGACAAAAAAAATATCATAGATTATGATCTCTCCAGGAAAGCTCAGGTCAATGTTTCTGTTTCTGTATCATCAGAATCTGTTCTGCTGGATGCAGCGGTTAATGCTGGCCTCGATGATAGCAAGACCCACGATGAAATCATTCTTCCGAGAAGCCAGGGGTACACAGTCGAAGAATGTATCTGTGAAGACTGTGTTAAGAGCAAACTAAAGGTTGACTCTGACCATTTCTTCCCGCTCCCAGCCTTGGAGGAGGGTGCAACCATTCTTGTCACTACGAAGACAAATGACTACTGCAAGAGCTTGCCAGCCACTTCAAGTGTCATGGAGATAGAGAAATCAATTTGTACTAAATAATTAACCTTTTGTTTGGTGTAGAGCTACCTTGAGAATCTTCTCAGAAGGAAACAATGAATCTGTTTAGGATAATTGTATTTATTAGCTGCTAATACAAACTTTTTGTTCTGTAAATCTGGAAAGCCTCCACTCTAGATATATTCACCTATCTTGTTGTTGGGCCTTAATTGGAAAATTCTTTGGTGTCACGATTAAACTCTTGACGCAGTGGAAAAAAGTTATTGCAATCTATGAAACCCCCAGTCTCATATTTTTCTTTTATACATGTACAAATATATTTAAAGAAAGATTAGATTCTTCTTGTTTTTTTTTTTTTATCAGTACCAGGGATTGAACTCATGATCACACACTTGCAAGGCAGGTGCTTATGCCACTGAGCTAAATCCCCAGGCCCTCTTCTTGATTGTTAATCAAGCAAGGTATCCTGGGTACTTTGTTTGATAGGAGAAGCCTACCTAGAGTCAGTCATGCCAGTTCATTGTGGAACGCCTAGATGGTTAGAAGAAGCATCAGGCAGCATAATGATACAAACAAGCTATAATTACAAACTGTGAGAAAGGTGTGGTATACAGTATTCTTAGCTCAGATTGAGTATATGTGATAATAATAACAGGTAAAACTTATATAAGCTTACTAACGTGCCAGGGACTATCCCAAGTGCTTTCGCAGGACTAACTCATTTGATGTGCACAAAATACTATAATGCAGGTGAACCATTATTATTATCCCCATTTTACAGATGATGACAGAAACTAAGAGAAAATAAGTGATTGTTTTTGCTTGTGTTGCTATAACAGAATACCTTAACTATGAAGATATATTTATTTTCATAGTTCTGGAGACTGAGAAGTCCATGATTATGCTGCTGGCACCTGGTGAGAGGCTTCTTCTTGTGTCCTTGCATGACAGAATGTGGAATAGCAAGATAGCTAACGTATGTGTGATGTCTCTTTTATAAGTGGCTTAATAGCATTAATGAGAAAGGAACCTTTATGGCCTAATCACCTGTTATGGGATCTGATTTTCAATATTACTACACTGGTAACATCTGAAATTTAAAGGATATGAGTTCAAAGTGTAGCAATGGCAGAGCAGGATTTAAATCAGAAAGCCTAATCTATTTTTTTTCTCTATACACCAATATGATAACCTCTTTGAGTTCCCCATTTCTTTGGCTTATTAGCTTAGTGGTTCCTGGGCAAAGGAATCCCTTCCTGGGGTTTATGCTAAGGACCTAGGCTCCTTGATAGCTTAGGTCATCTGTTGACTTTGGTCCTTAAGATGCTTACTGGCACCACAGCAGAGATGAACAAGTCTTCTGTGTATGTTTAGGATATGGGGAACTTCGGGAAAATTTTGTCCATTCTGGATGTTTTACGACTACAGGAGGCAATACAAATGTAATGGTTAAAGGATTAGTTTTTGTAGCCAAACTGCCTGAGTGTGAAACCTGGCTCTGTTTACTAGGAAATTACTGAGCTTGAGTAACTACTCCAGGCCTCAGTTTCTCTATCTATAAAAGGAGAATAATGATAGTCTCTACTTGTAACATTTTAAGGACTAGGATGTCACATAGTTTCTGCAAGTGTCTGCCTTGTTAAGTACTTATACTTACTGTTATGAGTGTCATTTATTTCCTTTGAGGTCTTGTCTGTGTCTGAGAGCACACAATCCTTTCCTGTTACATGGCCTCAGAATATGTCTCTAGCTTCCCACAGTCTTTTTCTTTCTTCTCCTATTTAGATCAAGTACTCAGTGAATTTAGATTTTTCTTTTTTTTTCTTTTAAAGAGAATAAAACAAAAGAGGACAGAACAAAGCAAATCAGAACAGAATAATGCAAGCAACACAGCACTTCACAACAAGACACCCGGATATTAACAGTAGCTACCATAATGTCTCTTTTCTTTGAATAGTTGAGCATACCTTCAAATACAGTAGTATCAAACATAACAAAATAGTATAAAACCATTCAAGAGAATGAAAGTATTACAGGACATTCAAAACCAAATAACAGAAAATGAACTATGTCATTTTCCATAAAAAATTTGTTTATACTATCACACATATTAAAATCCAATAAAAGCCAAGCATACTGGCTCATGCCTGTAATCCCAGCACTTGGGAGGCTGAAGCAGGAAGATCACTGCAAGTTCGAGACCAGCCTAGTCTACAAAATGAGCTCAAGGCCAGCCTGAACTGCATAGCAGAGACCCTGTCTCAAAAAGACAAAAAAGAAATTCAATAAGACACAACATGATAGAACCAATGGAAATAGAAGAACAAAATCATGGTAGGACTTCAAAGCAAGATGATATTAAATCAGCAAGGCTGCCATAATATCTTGTTTTCTTCAAAGTAGCTGTTCATACCATCACACATAAAATAAAACAAAATAGAATAAAACCATTCCAATCAATTAATGAAAACATTATAAGACTTCAAAGCAATGTAATGTACTCTTACCATTTCTTACACTAGGGAGACTATATGGTATTTATACACGTGAATTTGATTTATTTCACTTAGGAGTGTGGTCTCAAGTTGCATCCATTTATTTATAAATATCTCAATGTGATCATTCGTTATAGCTGAGTAGTATTCCATTGTATAAAAGTATCACATCTTTTTTATCCATTCCTCAGTTGATGGACACCTAGATTGTTTCCAAGATCTGGCTATTACAAATTGTGCTGCTATAAACATGGGTGCACATATATCACTGTGGTATGATGTTTTCTGTTCTTCTAGGAATATGCCCAGAAGTGGAATAGCTGGGTCAAATGGGATTCCCAATCCCAATTTTTTGAGGAATCTCCAGACTGACCTCCACAGTGGTTGCACCATTCTACACTCCCACAACAGTGCAGGAGAGTTCCTTTTTCCCCCGCAGCCTCTCCAGCATTTGTTGTTGGTAGTTTCTTTATCCTGGCCATTCTTTGAGAAGTGAGATGGAATCTCAGTGTGGTTTTAATTTGCATTTCCTTAAAGACTAGTGATGCTGAACATTTTTTCATGTATTTATTTGCCATTTGTATTTCTTCATCTAAGAACTGTGTATTTATCTCAGATGCGCATTTTTGGATTGGGTCTTTGAATTTTGGGGGTCTCATTTTTTAAAATTTTTTATATGTTCTAGACAGAAGTCCTTTGTCTGAGAGACAGTTGACTAAGATTTTTCCCCAATTTGTGGGTTTTCTTTTCACTATGCTGGAGATTTCTTTCAACATACAGAAACTCTTTAATAAGATGTAATTCCAATTGTTGATTTTGGGAAGTATTTCTTGTGTGGTTTGATCTTGTTCATAAATTCTCTACTTCTATGTCTTCAAGATTTTTACCTACTTTGTCTTCCAACAGATTTAGTGTTTCTGTATTAATATTTAGATCTTTGATCCATTTAGACTTTAGTTTAGTATATGGTGATAGGTATGGGTCTAGCTTTAGTTTTTGGCATATGGAGAGCCAATTTTTCCAGCACCATTTATTAAACAGACTATCATTTATCCAGTGAACGTGTTTGGCCCCTTTATCAAAATTAAAGTGGCTGAGTGTGTTTGTAGTTGTATCTTCTAATCTATTTCATTGATCTTCAGTCTGTTTTTATTCCAGTACTATGTTGATTTTATTATAGTAGCTTTGTAGTATTATTTCAATTCAGGGATTGTGATGCCTCCTGCTTTGCCTTTGCTGCTTAGAATTGCCTTTCCTATTCTAGGCCTCTTTTGGTTCCAGATGAATTTTAGGAGTGATTTTTCTAAATCAATAAGGTGCGCTAGTGGTATTTTGATTGTGATTGCATTGAGTCTGTACAACAATTTTGAAAGAATGGCCATTTTCACATTTATTCTTCCTATCCATGAACAACGGATGTATTTCCATTTTCTGAGGTCCTCTTTGATTTTTTTCAGGGTACTATAGTTTTCCCTGAATAAATCTTTTACTTCTTTCATTAGATTAATTCCTAAGTGTTTAATTTTTTTGAATGCTATTGTGAAGGGTGCGGCTTCTCTTATTTCTCTCTCAGTGATTTTGTTAGTGTATAGGAATGCTATTGATTTTTGAGTGTTGACTGTATCCAGCCACATTACTGAATTTATTTATTATATCTAGGAGTCTTTCAATGGAGTTTTGGGGGTCTTCTATGTAGAGTATCATGTCATCTGTAAATAATGATAATTTAACTTTCTCTTTTCCTATCCTTACTCTTTTTATTTCCCTCTCTTTTCTAATTGCTCTTGTTAGTATTTCCAGTACTGTGTTGAATAGGAGTGGTGATAATGGACATCCTTCTCTTGTGCCTGATTTTAAGGTAAAGGTTTTCAGTTTTTGGCCATTTAATATGATGCTAGCTGTTGGTTTGTCATAAATATCTTTTATCATATTGAGGTAAAGACCATCTATTCCAATTTTCTGTAGGGCTCTTATCATGAATGAGTGTTGGACCTTATCAAAAGCTTTTTCTGCATCTATAGAAATGATCATGTGATTCTTATTTTTGGCTCTATTGATATGGTAGATTACATTTATTGATTTACTTATGTTGAACCATACTTGCATTCCTGGGATAAATCCCACTTGGTTCTGGTGTATAATCTTCTTGATGATTTGCTACATCCTGTTTGCCAATATTTTATTGAGAATTTTTGCATCTATGTTCATTAGGGAGATTGGCCTGTAGTTCTCTTTTTTAGTTGGATCTTTCTCAGGTTTTGGTACTAGAGTAATATTTGCTTCCAGGAATGACTTAGGAAGGATTGCTTCCCTTTCAATTTCACTGAAGAGTTTGAGTAGTGTCGGCATTAAGTCTTCTTTGTATTTCTTGTAGAATTCTGCAGGGACTCCATCTGGGCTGGGTTCCTCTTTGTTGGTAAGGATTTGATTACATTTTCAATTTCATTAATAGAAATTGAGTTATTCAGCAGTTTTACATCTTCTTGACCCAGCTTTGGTATTTCATATGTTTCTCTGAATCTGTCCATTTCTTCTGTGTTATCAAACCTATGAGAGTAGAGGTTTTCAGAATAGGTGTTGATGATCTTCTATATTTCCACAGTCTGTAGTGATTTTACCCTTTTCATTCCTTATTGCATGAATTTGAGTTTTTTTTCTTTCCTTTTTTAAAAATAAGGTTGGCTAGGAGTTTATCAATTTTATTTATTCTTTCAAAGAACCAACACTTTGATTCATTGATTCTTTGGATTGTTTTCTTAGTCTTTATTGCATAA